TCAGATATATCTTGGTCTTCTCCTACTGATCTAGAATTGACCCTCTAGTTCTCCCAGAGGACCATTTTAACCTCTATTTCTTTTTTGAAAACTAAAATTGCAACATATTTGCACCGTACTTAGTTTTAGTTTTTTTTGATAAATGTGTCTTCATTATGTTATTAATATTACAGTGCTTAAATGTAGGGGTGTCTAAAAAGTATTGCGTAGTTCTATTTGTATTCATCGCAACGGGTCATTCTCCAGCTTGTTGATATTTTTGCTGTTTATGGACCCGATACAGTTTCCATTTGCACCGCACAACGATAGTTTCAACGTTTTCGTTCTTGTGTAAAGGTGATCGAGGATGGGCCACGCTCCGGAAGGCCTGTCGTCGAAAATTGCGACAAAATCTCTGGATTGGTCGAGAGAGACCGGCATAGTAGCAGCCGAGCATTGGCCAAGAGTTGGGCATGAGGCATCAAACCTTGGATTCAGAATTAAGCTTCGATATGTGTGTGCCACTCGAATTTACGCAGAATATTTGCTGTATTGACCCGTTTCTGAAGCGGATGGTAACTGACAATGAAAATTGGGTCACTTACTATAACATGAAGCGCAAACGGTCGTGGTCGTAGCGTGGTGAAGCGGCCCAGGCGGTGGTCAAGCTCGGATTGACGGCAAGGAAGGTTCTGCTGTGTGGCCGGTGGGACTGGGAGGGAACCATCCACTATGAGCTGCTCCCCCTATAGCCACACGCTCAATTCGGACCAATACTGCCAGGCCATACACATCTTTGGTGAGTTCCGATAACTCGGTTGGGAAATTCCTTTGCATGCACCAAGGGAATACCACCAGTTTCTATCCATGGCGAAAGAGCTTGGTAGTCGGAAGTTGGCCACAAAAGAGGCCTATAAGAGGGGCATTATGAAGTTGGCACATCGTTGGTAACTAGTCGTTGAACAAAACGGCGACTATTTGACTTAAATCGCTTGATTGTTACTAATTTTATGAATAATTGAAAATTCAATTAAAATACCGCAGGACTTTTTGACACCCTTATATATGTTAACACTGTTAAGGAGTAATCATAAGTCGATACAGATCTTGGGTGATTATTGGATCACCCTAGTGTTTAGTTGCAAAATCAGCATAAACATCTTTAGGGGCCGTACCTGGTTCTTGGCGGTGCACGGTATGGTGAGTTATGTTGATTTTGCTAGTGTCAGCACTTTGCTGCACGAGCGGTCGGCTTGCCGGCCGAGCATAGCTTACGTAAAGTCATATATGTTTTCAGTTTTAATTTGGACATTTAATAAAGAGCATTGGCTTGAATGTAAAACTCCGTCAGTGGCCGTCAACACTTATTCTATTAATTGAAATTGGTTACCGAGCCTTAAGGGCCGTTAGCAACGGAGTCAGTTACTCCCAACGTAGTCTTCGTAAGCCATTGGCAACCGCCCGGCACATTCATATGAGCAGCCAGCCACGGTGGCAATTACGTCTTCACCCCTTCCCCCGGACCAGCCACGGTGGCAATTGGATCGCAACTCTTCACCCTCACGGACAGCGGCAAGGGACAGTGCGAGGCTGCACAACTAAAACATAATTTATATATAAAGTGATCTGAGCAATATGGTAGAAAACATAGAATATTGGAGCCGTATCCCATATATAACAACCTCTCCCCCTCACCCTCCATTATAACCTCCGTAAAAAAGAATCTACAGAAATTTTTTCGTCGTTGGATGATCCTCAACCGCCATCTTTGGGAAGTCCTTTACACCCATTTTTCTCGAAATTCATATTGAACTCATATTCTAACTTATTATCTGGATCTTTAACTAGACACATTTTTATTTCCAATTTGTACGAAATGTGCAAAAAGTATTTAACAAAACGTATTTATGACCCAGTAAAGATAAACCAAATTCGAAAAATGGTATCTAAATTATTAATTTCGGAAGGTTTCGCTAAACATACATAGCATTTAGTTGACAATGATACCCTTGGGGCAAACTTTTCCATCCCCCATATTAAGACGCAACTATGTTCATAAATAACACTAGTTTACAGCCGAAATACCCCCAAGCCAAAAATACAAATTTCTGGTAGAGTACGACTCCTGGATCACTAAAAATTTTTCTTTGGGACACTTTATTTTTAAAGATTTAGAAAGTTTTTGACAGCTGTCTTTTCAAGTTTTATTTTATATCTCGATTTGTGGCCAACCGACTTTGGTGCATTTTACAAAATTTTACTAACAATAGATCAATATTTAACATTGTCATAATGAGTAATTGGATTGGATAAGTCATTTGTCTGCAAGAGCTCGACAGACACACACTTTTTTTTTTTAATTTTGGGCTGTTAAACTATACCCTTAAAAACTCGAAAAAAATTCATTGAAAAATCCATATTAATTCTAACTTATTGTTGGTATCCGACTTAATCGGACAAGTTAATTATGCCAGAAATTAATTGGAAATTCGATTTTTTGTGGATTCTTAAGGTTATGCGTTTTATTTTTCGGCCGTCAAGCACAAAATTTTAACAACATCTTAGACAGCTTAGCTTTCAAAGGACTGTTAGATGTAGGCAGTGGTGGCAGCTGTGGGATATTAAAAGAAGCTGAATTTAATATTCAAAAAGCTAAAAAGACCTTAGTTGTGTAGGTATTTGTTAACACATCAAAAAGCAAGGGAAATATAAGATCGTTATTTTTTTAAACCTTTGGTTGTTTTTTATCAGGCTTAGAATAAGATAACAGCAGCTATTTCGAAAAAAAACATGTTATAAACAGTTATAGTTCGAGGAACAAATATCAATTTTAGTAGGGAAAAACAAAACAAACCGTTTTTTCAAAATAAATAAAACAATATTTTATATAATAAAAACTACATCAACGGTGCATTCGACTTTATTTCATTTAAAATGGTTTAATTTGTGAGTTGTGGTTTTAGCAACTTGTAGCAAATTTTGTACCTTTCTCATTTGTACATTTTGTACTGAAAGAAAGAAAACTTGTATGAAACAAGAAAGCAAGCAAACTTCGGCAAGCCGAAGTTCAATACCCTGCACCTATTTCAAAACTAAATACTCTTGAAAACGTTAAAATTATGATTTACTTGCGTGTATGTTTAAAAACATTGAAGCTATAATGATTTGCAGCTTAATTATTCGATAGTTCCTATAGCAGCTATACGATTAGGAGCTATATGCAATAGTCGTCCGATTTTGATGAAATTTAAACCGTAATTCTGAAATATTTAACCATTACTCGAAGAACTAAAAAAAAATTAAAAAACACCAAAGTTATAATTTTTTTATATTTTTTTTATGATTGTTTCTATGGGAGCTATATGCTACAGTCGTCCGATTTTGATGAAATTTAAACCGAAATATTTAACCATTACTATAGGTCGAAGAACTAACAAAAAAATTAAAAAACACCAAAGTTATAATTTTTTTAAATTTATTTTCCGATTGTTCGTATGGAAGCTATATGCTATAGTCGTCCGATCCGGCTCGTTCCGACTTATATACTACCTGCAATAGAAAGACAACTTTTTGGAAAGTTTCATGCAGATTGCTTTAAAACTGAGGGGACTAGTTTGCGTAGAAACGGAAAAAAAATTAAAAAAATTGTAACTTTTCTTTAAATTTTATTTTGTAAGTTCTTCATATATAAAAATGTGTTTTATTTTTAATTACGGATTTAATTAAACCTGACTTTCATTAAAACAAAAAGATAAACAATTTTTTTTATTTTTAATTTAAGATATAACATATAACAGATATAACAGATATAATTGTTCAATCACGAAATGTTTATTATTTCATATGTGAATTTTAAAAACTACACTTCTAATCTTGCTGGCCCTTGGCAGAATGTTCAAACATTAACACGTATAAATATAGGAATATGAGACAAACATTGCAGCCACTTGAATGAAACAACACAAGTCTAAAACGACTTCCTATGAGCGGTCACAGAATGTCCTTGACGATAAGTGCTATTAGGCTAGCTGTGTTTTCTAAGTTAGGGATAAACAAGCCACTCCGTGGGTTATAAGAAATAAGATAATAATCCCACAGCTCTGTTCTGTGTCACTTTGTCAATCGATCTAAACCCATTATTTACGATCTGTTACCAAAACCATGCAAGGGAGCATTTGTTACTACTTGAAATCTGTAAGTACAGGCCACATGAGCCTTCAAACTAATGTCACTGTTGGTGTTTCCCACACTACACAAAGCACTTGTGCGGGAGTCCAACTATAGCTCTCCCGCGCCCGCTCAGGAGCAAATAGATGCGCTCCTGCGTAGCCCAAAGATAAGACTAGAATGACAATCTCACAAATGTTATTTGCTTACAGAGACTTAATAAAATAAAACCGTTCGAAGTTATAACTCAACAAATAAAGACGTCGTATCGTTTCGTAGTTCTTTTCAGCACTAATTATGCTTTGGGTGTGATTATTTATACAGACCGAATATACATATACCGCCTAAAAACTGGCCTCTACCATTTCTCTAGTTTTGCGATTGGTAAAATATTGTGCCGCAGAAGGACATTACGAGATCGACTCGGTTAATTATCAAACCAAAAAAAAAAATATATAAACTTTTAGGGCTGAACCAACTTTCCTCTTACTTATTATACTTTTCAACGAATGCGGTATGCTCCTTTATTAACGAGAATTACAGAAATTGGCAGGAATTTCTTATTTTTAAATGTTGATAAAGCCCCATTTATGTTTATAAATTCACTTTGAAATAAAACATATTTCGATTTTTTCTGTACACACAGATTATTTTAACATTTCCTGCTCCAAACCCTTTTAGACCAAAAGTTGAATCCGCAGAGTGACCGCTGTATGCCAACTTCACATTATGATATAATATATATAAAATCGCCTATGTGTCAGCACATAAATAAATAGCACTGCGTTGCAAAGATAACAAAAAAATCAAAAACTAATTACTTTGTTAAATATTATTTGATATTTCGTCTACAGACGCGCAGAACTGCTGCTTGGCTTGCAGCAAAAATGACCTCGGATGGACATTCTGTTGCTGTGCTTTCTGGAGATTTGACAGTTGAGCAAAGACTTGCTGTTTTGGATCGTTTCCGTTCTGGTCTTGAAAAAGTACTTATAACCACAAATGTTTTATCAAGAGGTATTTTGGATAATATTAAAATTAAACATGTTAATACGTTGAATACTTATCTTAATTTAAGGCATTGACATTGAGCAAGTTACAATTGTCGTCAACTTTGATTTGCCGGTGGATGTGCGAGGCAACGCTGACTGCGAAACATATTTACATCGAATAGGCCGCACCGGACGATTTGGTATGTACTTTAATTCTGCAACTATTGGAAAGCGTCTGAGTGCCAAGGGTGGTACGGTAAAAAAAAACTGACTTGTGACCTTACAGATAAAGGTATTTGATTTTTTTCAAAATAAAACAAAATCCAAGGATGAGGTTGTGGTCAGCACACCGAGATTTATTAGACCTATAGAAACGCACCAATGTATTATTTCACCGACCTCGACTTGTTGCACAGTGTAGTTATTAAAGAGTGCACTGTAACATTTTTACAGTAAGGCAAGTTAGATCCGTTAGAGCCGTTAGAGACAGACTTCGTTTGACTTGCAAAGCGAACGGTCGTGTTTTTTTTGTGCGCTCCGAACTTTTATTGTTTTTGTAATAACCCAGCTGTGAGATATAACAACATTTTTTACTACTCGGTCAATTAATAAAAACTTTAATATAACCGTTCGCTATAGTGATCTATATTAACAATTTATTTAAACTTTTTGTTTTCTTTTCTGTGTATTTAAAATTTTAGCTGTTTTTTTTTTGTGCTTTGTCTGTCCACGCCGTAGTATTGTTTTTGGTGCTAGACTTGCAGGCGCTTTCTGCATTACACTCCCGCTCTCTTGATCTCCCGCTTTCTAAACTCCCACTCTCTCTCTCTCTCTGTCTCGAAAGTTCTAAGCGTGCAGCTTCTGCACTCTTATGGTTTCTTTTATGTATGCGCAAGCATATATTAAATTGTTTATTATTATGATATGATAATAGTAGTATGTGATGACGTGTGCCTGTGGAAGGCCTGACTTCTGCTGCAGTTAGATCTGCATTGGTTGACGACTGCGTATGGACTGACGATAGAGAGAAGAGTAAATAGGGAACAACTACCGACTTACGCATACACAATACCCCCCTGACACCCAGATGGGTCATAGTATTGTGGGGGTTGTCGATGTCGTCTTGATCTTCCACTTGAATCGTTTCCAAAGATCGCATTGGCGAAAACGGCAATGTTGGGTGTGGATCGGGAACAGATTTGTCGACAGACGTAGACGGAGTAGTAGGCTCGCAAGCTCGAAGCTGGTCTAGATGACGTCAAACTACACTGCTATCCTCGAGATTTACCGCGTATGATATGGGTTTAGTCTGCTCAAATACACGACCTTCAATCCATTTACGGCCGCTCGAGTAGTTTGAGCTCCCGCTTGAGGAGCAGCTCTGCTGGCAAATGCCCCGTAGTCGAGTGTGGTGTGCAATGTTGGCTGAGCAGATATCGGGCCAGGGCTAGATTAAAGTCAGTATCTCGCTCCATCTTTTTAAGAAAACCTATGTGCATTGGACCATTCGCTCAGCTTGGCCATTCGTTGCTGGGTGAAAGTGCCGATCGGATATGGCGAATAAGGTTATGGCTCATAAATATTTTAAACTCATCGGATGTAAAAGCAGTTCAGTTATCCGAAACAAGCTCGTCTGGAATTCCATGAGTAGAAAAAAGCAGGCGAAAGAACGCAAATCTCGAGGAACTTGGAACAAGAATCAACGACCAAAAAAACGGTCCTGCGAATTCAACATGGAAACGGGACCAAGGTATTTTAATGGATTCCCACAAGCTTACTTCTTATCTATGTGGCTCATTTCGTGTTTCTTAACAAGCTTTGCAGCGCATAACTGTGCAATCGATACCCGATATTTATCCACCAAATGTAGTTCCTTGATAATGCTTTCATTTTGACAATTCTGGGATGATGCGCGTGAATGTGCGCTCACAATAGGTTTGGCTGCCCATTCAATCATTAAAAGGTCCACCTTGGTAAGCTGTTTGGTCGAAACGGTGACCTTTTTTAACTTGGTGAAAGGCTCATGATGCTGCTGCGACCATTTCCTTGAAGAACTTTTATTCAGAAGGCGATGCAATGGCTCTGCAATGGTAGCATTGTAAGAGAAAACATGAATGACACAAACTAGCGAGTCCAGGAAGGCTTGTAAGTGCTTCTTATATGTTGGCGCTGGTAAGGAGTGTATGGACTTGACCTTGTCTACCGAGGGCCGTATGCCTAGATGAAATAGAAAGGACGTCGATAAGTCTGACTGATAAGTCCTCGTCAAACTTTCCCATGACCACAATATCGTCGAAATACGGCAATTCTCTTCGAAATACGGCAACTACCAGTTGCTGATAAACTTGCGCTATTGATGCAATACACTTTATTGATGCAAAAAGCGTGTTTATGGCCGTAATTCGATGGCAATGTGGTTGGTTGATCCATCCTTTTTAACAACAGGAACCGTCGATGTGGCCCATTCGGAATGTTTTAAAATTCATTTGCGCTCAGACGATCGAGTTCTTCTTCAAATGGTTTTTTACCATGAATTCCTTCGATACGAATTCCCAGAGGTTCGATCCAATAACAACCTAATAGGTTGGCCCCGACTCCAGATACTATTATCAGGGTCAAGTTGTCGATCTGATGGCGATTATAGTGTATAGTTGTATTAGTTATCCCCTTGACCGGGATCTGGCCTAGCCAGATTAGGCTTGTAGTTGAGGCATGTTTCGCATTTCCGCACATGTGCTCAGGAATCCCTGTGCATTTCTGGCCAGTAATAACGGGCCGCCAGCTTTGCAATCGTTTTCCGACTTTCCACATGTTCAGTGGCTGGTGAGTCTTTATTAGCCTTTAGGACGGTTTCCCTGAGCCCCCGTGGGACACATAGATTCCATTCTGTCACTTCTTTGCTGGCGCAAATCCAGCAGAAAAGTAGCGGCTGGTTTCGGCATCCTCGTGTCCAATGTTTGTGACCGCCACACCGTTAGCGGGCTTCGTGTGGGTACACGTCGTACGTGTGTGTCCTGTGGGCTCTCGGTGCTGCGTTGGGTGGTCTCCGATTAGTAGTAGGTGGCCTCCATAACGTGTTCTAATTATAGTTGTTCGGAGTCCACTTGCGTGTTTGACGGGCGCTTGGTGTCCTTCGTCTTCTTCGCATCTTGTTGTGGTGCTGTTGATTTGTTTCGCGAAAATTGTTTTCTTGTATAATTGCATGTCGCTCCTTCTTGAGTTCTTCATATTCATCAGCCAGGACCATTAGAGCTTGTAGATCATGTATCTTAAAAAGTTCCCAGGGAGATCCTCAGATAAGGTGTGCAGTTGTTCTTTATCATTTCAGTGTTTCCTTTGGGAAGTAGCCGAGTGGTCTTATCATGGTCTGCATGTCGACCATATGTCCTTGAATGCCTCTTTTTATTACTCAAAGTTTCTTGCTCGAATTTGAGGTAATTTATAAAGAAAGCTTCGAATTATTCAGCGAACAGTTAAAATACTAAAACTATCTGTTTTAGTATTTTTGAATTCCCTCCGCGGAAATCGGGCTGCCATTACTATTCTATTTCAAAAGTGTGTGAAACCTAAGTGCATTGTCTGTTAAAAAGTATTCCGGTTTTCTCAGCAGACTTGCTGATTTGAAAGTGCTTACAATTTATTAGCAATTTAAGAATATTGCGAAAGTGTTTGGGACTGTTCTTCCCCTTCTGATTTTATATTGGTTTCAGCGACCTGTAAATGAATACATAATTTAACGTCACTGTTTCCAGAGGTCGTATAGCTTGCGGTATTCAGGGTGCGAGACAAATGAGTCTACCTCCCATTCCCAAAGAATAAGACTGAGAAGAAAAATTGGAAATACAGCCTTCGAAGCCTTCGAGCAATTTAAAATGTCGCTCACTATATCGACACTTGTCTAATTTTGTCGGAATTAAGGATTGTCCTTTTCAAACGCGTTCCCTCCCTAATAATGAATTGGCATAGTACCTAAACGGCAAAGATTGTACCAAACTCTCTTCCATCCTGCACCATGCTTTATGCTACTGACAAATTATACTCAATAATTACATTTAATCTTGTAAAGTCGAGTTACGTTGAATCTTTTACGTTTTTGATTTATAAAAATATTGGAATATATCAGTGTAAACAAACATTTATATTTCGGATGACGGTTATAAACCATGCCTTGATTATTATAAATAATCAACTACTACTAGTAATTTAGTTTATACAATGGATATAATTAATAGGGGTTCTCGGTGAAGTTTTTCTAGTTCGGCGCTCGGATGGGTCGTTCTCTCCGACTAAATACTCCCAGATTGGAAAGGATTCGGGAAGTTATAGACGGGATGTTCGGTCGGTCGGTAAAGACGATTTAATGATCATAACCGATCTGGACAGGGGCGTCGATGTTCCTCTCTAGGTCCCCCAGTCCATGTCAAACAGGATCCACCATCTTTACTACCAAGATGGATCTAAAAGATAGCTGAGTGTCAGGACTTAAAGGGTTCCCTTTTAAAAATGCAAAATCCCACATTTACAATTCGATCTAAATCACTTTCAAAAATGGGGCCGGTATAGTTTACAAAATTTAAACGGCTATACGATAAATGTAAGGTGATGACTTTATAGCTTTTCAATCCAAAATACACGATTCATCCTCTTAAAGACTGCTCTTGTAAACGATCTTGGAGTTCGAGGATCCCTATGTCGCCAAGACTTTTTATATTTCGCTAGTTCGTCCGATTCTGGAGTAATCCCATCTGGAGTCCGCATTATGAAATAGGTATATATTGACCGCATTGAATTAGTAAAAAAAACTTGTTTACTTTTTACCTTCTTATTCTGTAGAATACTATTAATTAATTTACCCTCCCCAGCCAACCTCAGAACGATGCTTGTTACTGTCTTAATCTATAACCCTATACGTGGTGAAATTGATAACCCCCGGCTTGGTAGGCCGTCCTTACTGCACCAAGTAGATTAACTAAAAATTATATTCCTCTAATATTAAATTAGAGTATTGTAAGGATGCTCTCTGGCCGGGGTTCAGATCTCAGTCGGATCCAGAAGTCCTTAACAAGAAATTTATAAATCACTGAAGTCGGAGTCTCTTGTTTCGCCGCAGAGATGAAAAAAATTTACCGGGCTGGACCTACGTGCGAGGCCACGCCAGATAGAGTTCGTCAGGTGGACGGCGACGGGGGTAAAGGGTTTCACGCACAAGACCAACTACTACGGGAGAGAGGAACTAGGGAAACAGACAAGTCGGGAATTTTGTCCACGCGCGGGCCGTTAAAACTACAGGAGGAGGGGAACTAGGGAAATAGTCCAGTCGGGAATGGTGTCCACGCGCAGGCCGCAATCACTAAGGGAGAGGCAAACTAGGGGTCATGGACCTATCGGGATGGTGTCCCGCGCAGGTCGCAATCACTTCGGGAGAAGGGGAACTAGGGTACAGGAGCAGTTGGGAATGGTGTCCACGCGCTGGTCGCAATCACTCGGGAGAGGGAAACTACGGAAGCTACGAATAAAAACCACAAGTGAGGAATTTAATTTCCTCATATCCTTTTTTTTTTATTTTCCTTCTGTATTTCCAACGGGAGTCCGCTTCACCGACCTCCTTTAACGAAGGATGAAGCTAATTACGCTAACCTTGAAAACACTGGATCTTTTCCTAGGTCCGCACTCGACCCGCGTTACCGAAGAAAACTTTCTTAGCGCGGATGCGTGGCTGACTCGCAGGTAGCTTAGATGCCTCGGAGTTTCCGACCATCGGGAGACGCAGTAAGGTCCCGTTTTCCGATTCCGCGTTTAGCCGCCGTGTTCGGATGATACGTCTTGATCGTCCCGCGATCCCTGAGACCGACCCGGATGCTCTGATATTATCCCCCTCTAGTATTTTCCTTGTCTTCCTAGTATTTCCCATGTCTACACTCAAATATCAGTTGGTGATGCCACTCAAGTTCTCATTTTTTTAACTATAACTTAATATTATTCTTTGATCATTTCAACTTAATATTTATTATGCTTCATGATATGTCTCTTAAGACTATAAAATTACAGACTATGAGGATTGTCGCGTACTTGCCTTCTAGGCATGGTTGCGCCATATAGAGGCGGCCGTCGTCCCTGAATGGTGTCGACGAATCTGAGAGATCCGGCTCCCGCGGCCACCTTCCTCTTGATTTCCATCCCTCACCTGACGGGGTAGCTAACACAAAGACTCGTTAATGTTAACCTGTTACATAAGCAAGTAATAAATGGTTCTTAAAGCTACTCTGCAGCTCCTATTGCTTACCGTACCCGATTGCTCGGCCCGGCCATGCTTTGTCGTCGAACATGCCAGGGTTTCCGCTTCACGGTATGGTTTTGAGCTGAGATATGTTGGCGATTCGCCGCCGTCGATCTCCTGTGCTCTGCAAGAGCACCAAGTTCGAGGTTCTAACCTTCGTATAAGTGGTCGTCATATTTGAGCAAGTTTGCCGCTCAGAATTCCTTGGCCGCTTTTGATAAGGGTTTTTGTCGTAGCCATACTTGACTCCCTGAGCGTTGGTCTCCATTCGCGCCTTCGTAGGTTGTAATGTCTATAATGAGTTCGTCATATTCACAGCATCGCAGGCGGCGTGATTCCCGTTCCTGAGTGATAAATGCGATGCCACCCCGCTGAACCGGTTGATGCGCAACCGGCGTTTGCGGCAGGAGATGACGTTTTGGTGGACAAATGTTTCAAAGCCGTAACCAGATTGTCCCTCTTCTGTGGCAAAGTGGTCCTTTAGGTCCGGCCGGAACTTGGTTTCCATAGTCGCACACGAACCACAAGAATGCCCACTCGCCCGGGTATGTTCTGGCACCTCTGCGTGGCGGTAGCTTCCGGAGTGCGATCAACTCTACCATTTGCGGAGAACACATCATGAAAACCCGAAGCACAGAGTTTCGGCAAGCGTATCGACCATTGGGGGTAGCGGGCTTACAAAGTCCACAGAGAGAATGGCTGAGTTGCTCGCCATGACACGGGCCAGCATTTATACTCGTCGC